AAGTCAAGTAATTTGACAGACAACTTCACTGCTGTTGCTGTTGTACTTTTTTGTTTTGTTTGGACTTTCAATATTTGTTTTAACTTGTGAGTGTAGCTGTAACTGTCTTAAGTATTCTCTAGAGGTCATTAGAGGGTTTTTACCTAGCTGGTATTTTTAACAAAAATGCTTTTTAATAGAAAAAATACTTTTTTTCTGTTTCAGTGGTGTCAGAATATTTTTTTCCACGTTGAAATGTTATTTTTTTGTTTAACCTTTTTTTATTGTCTCCTGATTTTTTGGAAATGCACTGGTAGTCATTTTTACATAGAAACAAGTGCTTTAGTTGTTCAGTATAGGACAGTGGTTTGCTATTTTTTTTAAAAACAAAAGCCACAGAATGAGACTAGTGGCAAGGAATCTTCCTTTCTACTTTGAACTAATTTGCTCCGTGCACACAGGAGCATTCGCAATTCCTATTTTATGTCTTTCTGAAAGAAATCAAAAGATCAATTAAGGAAGACCTATGCACCACTAATTAACACATATTTCATGGTCTGAGCTATTAAGCTGAATTCAGTACAGTTAACAAAACGAAGTCTAGTATGTTGTGGCATACTTGTGAAAATATCACTTAGTCCTAATTTTGCTGTTGTCATCTTTTATTGCATGACTTTAGAAGAATTTGAGAGATGCGTAAGGGAATAATAGTGACTTGGTGACATTTTTCACATGCTTCATGCAAAAGGTCTTTCTGACCCATTATGGTTACTTTTTCTGTGTCTTCTGTGCACATAAAGCTGTGCAGATAATGGTGGCCCTGAATGAATTGAGGATCCTCAGATGCCACTGTCTTGGGACATAATCTGTGCCAAAATGATTGGGCAAGCTTTTGAATTGCTTGGAAATTTTCTGATGAAATAGTCTTTTGCTGATATTTATCAGCATGGTGAAAGTGAAATTTTTTGCAGATATGGACCAATTTTTGCCAAAGTTATGATGGAACATAAGCAGAGCTGTTGCTTGTGGGCAGGTATTTGATTTGGTTACTTTCTTGATAGCTCACCTACTCGGCAGATTATTGTGGTGCTGAGGCTTCTACCATGTGTTGCTCATTCTGTTTTTCCGACAGCAGCCACAGATAGTTTTCTTCCTGCTGCAATAAGCTAGAGCATTGACTTGGTTCTGTTGTGAAGAACTTGGAAATCAAAATTTTTAAAATTCTAATCAGGATTGAAAGATTAAAATCCTCATATTAACAGCTTCTATCCAGTTAGTCCCTGTGTGTCATGCAAGCGCCCCAGGCCAGGATCATTACTCTTTCCTCATGCAAAAGTTCATGGACTGTTGCTGAATTGCAGATACAAGTAGTGGTTTGCCAAGAGAAAACTGTAAGCAAATGTTATCTTTGCTTCTCCACTTTTTTTTAGTGTGTTTTGCCATTGATCTGTTAGTCTGTCATCTTCCTTCTCTATTTGCTTGCTACCATGTGCATAAAATTTTGATATATTAAAAAAATCTTGTGTAATATCAATATACAGCTGATAATACAGGAAATTTCCTTTGGAGTTACTTAACTTTTTGCAATTGTTTCTTGTATGAGCAGTTGTTTTCTTGTGTGACTTTACCTCATGGCAGGGCAACAATAGGCAGAGCGTATTAGAAAAAAGACCATGAAAACTGAAGTCGTGCTTATCCACAAAACATATTTGAATATGCTTTAAGATGATATTTTATATTTTTGTGGAAGTTGTTTTAAAAATCAGAATGAATATAACCTGGGAAAAGACAACAGAGTTTTAATGCAGAAGATGATGCACTAGAAGCACAGATTAACTTTATGTGTGAACTTGGCACCTGTTATCTAAGCAATGGAAAAAGGTTTTCAAATTTTCCAGATTGCTTAGTATTTTAAAAGTATTGTTGAATACTTTGATAAAGTTAGTCAGGAGATTGTTTTCTTATTAATATGTGTTGGAAATATGTGAGTCTCTTGCTGTGAATTTTTTGTGAAATTCTGTACCATGTTTTGACTGAACAAGCACTTCATAACCTCTTGTTGGTCCATTAAATAAACTGACATTTCTGTACAAGCTGATGTTTTAAAAATACAATACTATATTGCCTGACAGAGTAGCCTATGAATTTGGTTCATTGAATCTAGTATACTTTTGTTTTTAAAGAAACCCAACAAACCTGCATATGCAAAGCATATCAGACTCAGATAAGCAAGGATACTACATGTTGTATGCAGAACATAAATGCTGTTGTTATATTTTTAAAATTTTAAAGTTCTAGAAGAATAACAAACCATGCTGAGTACATGTTATGGGAAAGTTTAGTTGTGTTTGTGTATTTAACCGAACTGTGAAGACTGTAATTAAAAATTAAGTATACATATTAAATATAAAACAAATGCACTAGCCAAAACAACTGCAAGCAGGAAAACTACTGACTTTTTTTCTTAGTCTAAGTTTGGGTCTAGAGGTAAAAACTTTATTTTGGTGGTCTTGTAGCAAGACACTTAGTCTTTGGAACCTAGTGATGTTCTACCACTACTGACTAATGTAAGACCTGTTAGCACTTTCTGTGATACTTTGCTACAGTCTTAAACACCTACCCACCATTACTTGGGAAGGCTTTCATGATTGATGTTTGCAATGTTCAGTCAAACTCCTTGAAAGAAAAATTGGTGTATAAGCAGATGGAAGGTGTGCACATGGCTGTCATTTTCAGTTTACTGGCAGTAAACATATTGAGTTGTTGGGAGACAGCCTGTATCTTCAAGACTGTACTTGTCAATGGAAAATACTTTTTAATCTTTCTTCTCTCTCTGGTAAATGGAGTAGTTGGTGACATAGGCACAAACACTAATTGTGTTTATAGCAGTTCTGGTGGCTTGCTGAAAAGTGACTGTTTCAGATTGTAGAATCTCATCTGCATAACAAATTCTGTATTGTGTTCTTTGCAGAGAGTGTCAACTTGGAGATGATGGACTAATGTATTTTGACAGAGTTTCATTAGAGTCTTAAGTTAATTTTTAAATTGGCATTTAAATCCTTGCAGCTGCCAGAAATGTAAGCTGGTGTAGACTTGAATAAATCAGAGGGAAAGAGGAAATGGGAGACCTAGGTCATTGGCAAGATGGTGCACTGTGAGATTGCTACAGCAACTCTGCTGCTGAAAGAATAAGTTGTGTCAGATGAGACTTATTCAGCCTGAAAGTATGTGAACTGAATAGTTTTATAAGGCCTTAATGCAGATCCTGTAAATGAGTATTTCTTTACGTGTGTGCTGAAGAAAAAGTTGATTCTCTCTTAAAAAAAAAAAAAAGGAGGAGAGAAAGAGAGAAATATTTTACTATAACCTCCAAGCTGAACAGGTTCATGGTGGTTTTCATCTCTGAGTTTCCATGCTTCTTGTCCAGAGCTATAGGCTGCTCTTTCATAAGCAAGCAATCATTTTTGTTTGTCATATGAAGAATAGACTTGATATTAGGCTGCTTTATCAATTTTTTGCATTTGAAATGCAAACTGCGGTATCACTGAGCTTATTCAAAATGTTGCAACCCTTATTCTACCGGGCTTGTGGAAAAACTATGTAGTTAAACACAGGTAAGCATTCATGCAGTTTTTCTCAAAGTAAGAAGCCTGAATGGGAATTGTGAATGCAAGGTAGTTCTGAGCATGGAACAGTACTTTTAAAATAGAAAATAATTTAGAATACTCACAGTGCCTCTTGATCTGAAACCTGCATGAACAGGTGGTGGTTCTCTCCTTCGTTTGAAGCCGGTGCTCTCAGATCAGTGTGTGTGGAATATGTGCTCAGTAGGTCAGTGATAGTCGGCTCAGCCCCAAACAACCCTCCCTCTCTCCTTCTGGCACTTCAGCACAGGTCTGGAAAACTTGCATTGACTGTACAGGACTTTGGATCAGATCCTGGTATGATCTGAAGCACCTGGAGGTGCATACGAAATACACAGCTGTCCAAGAAAGGCAAAACTTCTTATCTCTAAAGCTAGTATTGCAAGGGGAGAAACACTAATCATTGCCATTCACTCTGAATTGTGTGGGGAAAGAAGCTGAGTTTACTGCTCATTGAAATGGGTTCTTTTTTGGGGGGGACGGGGAGAGTGTGTGATATTTGTGATAGACTCAGTAGACACAACAAATAGCACTGAGGAAGCTGTATGTCTTCACTCCTGTTCAGGGAAATACCTGTCTGAAGAGTCATCAAACACAAAACTTGCAGAGTTCTCCTATTCTGAATTCTGCCTCCTTTGAACTTCCATTGTATTTTTCCCCCTTTATTCAGTTTTAAAATGAATTTTTGCCTCTCTGTCAGGCCCTTCCTTATCTGGGAGGATTACAAAGGGAATTTTTCTTTTTTCATTGCTGCAGGAAGCTGCTGTTGTACTTAAGAGCTTTCAAATGGAGTTTCCTGCAACCACAGAAATGTTGTGCAAAGAGAGCAAGGGTGGGCGTGCCCTTGTCCTTCCTGCAACAACAGTTGGTTTTAACTTCCATATGCATTGAAATGAGTACTTGCTGTCGGTTTTCAAACAGAATTAATTGTTCTGGTTAAAGGGAGCACTACTACGTGAAGTGAACATACCATGTCTCTTTTTGTGGTTACTTTTCCTTTTTCATTTCTATTTGCTTCATGTAATGCCATCTATAGTTTCTTAAACTGATGCTGTATTCACAGAAAAGAAAGACATGATTAGAGCAAAAAAGATTGGTAAATACGTATATGATCAGGTTTCTGATTTACACAGCACTTTCTTGCTAGAACTGAGCAGCAGTCTCAGTACCAAAAATGTATTTTTAGATTTTTTTTTTTTTACTGTGTATTTAAAAAAGCCTAAATTTAAAAAGTTCTTGTCAGACAGGAATTTGGGCAAATAAAATAGGAGTGGATCATTATCTGTATCTAAACACAGATTTGAATTCTTCAGTAATGATGCATTATATATTGCTTACAGCCATTAACCTTTTTTTTATATTCTGTTTTTATTGCAGGTACATTATGTTCCACCACTGCTTATGTGCCTGCTTTGTCTGACTTTCTGTGGATTTCAGCAGTGAGTGAGTGGCTTGTGACATGCTTATTTAAAGGGCTTCATCACTCCCATGTTTAATACAGAGATTTCTCTAGTGATAAAAAGGTAATTAACTGCTGGAAATTTATCTATAGTGAGAGAACGCACTCATCTTTGAACCTCTGAAGGCTAATTATCCTAGCCCTGAAGATTTCCCTAAAACACCCTCCTCCTGCCTCAAAAAAACCCCCAAACAAACACGAAAACTAAAACAACAAAAGACCCCACCTAAATTGAAAAAATATTCTGAATGGGGCAGTGAATGCTGCATATTATTAAATTGTGAAACTTTTGTATGTCATCCACATATTAGTGAAATTTCTTCCATAAGTCATGGTTTTCAGTCTCCTTAATTAATTTCTTGCTGGTCAGTTTACAAAGAACCATATGAATTAGTGCAGCCCGGGGTACCTGGTAAAAATTATTGTCAGGTGCATTGGAGGTACAGACAGCAACAGAGTGTATGTAAACAGCTTACATTGTAGATGCTGGTGATCATGGTTAGAGCAATATGGGAAATGATTAATCTTATCCTGTAGAAGCTGTGGCTTGAAATATTAACCAGATTAGGAATATTAAAATAATCCTGTTGGTTCAAATCATCTGTTCATCAGTGCCAGAATCAGATCTTTTATACTTAGTAGCTTTGATCTCCAAAACAAGACCTTTATATCCCTGATTCTGTAACCCATTCTTGTTATATGGATAATTGGATAGGCCATTTTTCTTTTTCACTTCTTGATTATGTCAAACATCCACTTTAAGATGTGTGTGGACTTGGTACTTTTTGGAAAACAAATACCTTTGTGGGGCTTAGTAACTTATCTACAAAAGACCCATTCTGGATATATTAAATCCTTTTTATTCAGCTGTGAGGATTGTTTACATTTACATTCTTTACCCAAACACAGAAATTCTTTTGAATTACAGTATGATAACAAATCTGTATACCCCAGAAAATAATACTCAAAGGTGTTCTGCAAACAGGTACATTAGTGTCTCCCGGTATGTTTAGTCTCAAGTCCCTCAACTTTTACAATAGTCAGAAGACTAGGTCATATTTTAAATATTCTGGATCAACAGCAATTAATTTTTTTGCCATGTTTAATGGTTCTGTTGTGCTAATACAGGGATATCTGGATGGAGCAAAGCAGGGAAGACTAACTGTGTTCAACTGGAGACTTGTTTGCTGAGAAATACACGTGAAAGCAGTTTTCTTTTGTTTTTCACACCATTGGTGAGTGCTGACCATGTGTTTCAGTTACTTTGCACATAGGGCCCTGTCCACATAACTGATTGTTATATGTATGAGATAGAGGCCAAGAAAATGTGCTTTCTATTTTTCAGCAAATAAACTGATGTAGGAATATTTCTTGCTTTCACCTCTTTTGTCTGCACTTGGATATAAAAGACAAATTTGAAACTTGAAAATTATTTAATTTGAAGTGGTGATGCAATTGTACAAATAGTATCTCTCGAGATTTTTTCGCATAGTTACATAGAACCTTTGAAATTAGTGCAACAAAAAGAACTGAGTGGAGTACTCTGTTACAGTCTTTACTTTGCATTTTTTACCACATTTTATTGGTATTTCTCATTCTTAGGTGTGATTAAGCAAGGTTCCCTTTGTGGTTTATTGAGTTTTTTAATATAGAAGGGGGGAATTATAAGGTTTTTTTGAAAGGAAAAGTATGTTTGTAAATACGCAAACTTTATGAAGAAGAGCGAGGCACAAGCCTCTCTGTTTAGTTCACTTCTGAAATTGGCCAGGTTTTTAGTTAGGTGTACCAACAATATTTCCATTCAGTGTTGGTTAGACATAATACCAACAAATTAAGATGAAGGGATCTGTCAATTCAGGTGAAGGTTCATATCAACAGCAGGTTAATATTGGAATATTTGAGGGAAACTTCTGTAGTAATTAAAGAATTCCTCTGGAGATAAAAGCTGTGAATATTTTGTAAAAGCAAGTAGTAGATCACAATCATTACATCTTTCATATTTTTGGCAGAAGTAGTGAGAAGTCTTTTAAATATTATGTTTTTAGAGATGTGGTGGTTATTTTCTTCTAAAAACCAAGAATTCTCTGGTGAGTCAAGGGAGATACATTTTTTTCCTTAATTCAATACTTCCTTGTTACATGTGCTACCTTTGGAGCTAAAAACACAAATCTTTTCATTTAAGGGTGGCTGACTATAAACGCAGCACAGGGAATCCATATCTTCCCTAGATCAGGGCCTAAGGAATGTAGGGAATGGCATTTGCATCTAGACTTTAAGATTTGTATGTTTATGATACACTGTCTCTTTTTGTTGCTTAGTTTTGGAAGTAAAATGCTGCATGTTTCTTTTGGTGAGGGTGTCTTTTTTTCTTTTTTCCTTCCCCCAGAATTACCCTCATGGTAAAATAGCTTTATCCTCTGTATGTGTTCTATCACATAACTCATGAAGTTGATGTTTTTCTTTTTTAAGGTATTTAGCCTTTTTTTCCCTGCCGTTATGACTGTTGATTTCTGTAGCACACGTCATCTTTAGCCCACATAAACGTATAGTCATGCACTCATCCTTTCCTACGTAATTGTAGTTAGGAGCAGCAAATAATTAAAAAAAAAAATCATCATGTTCGAAACAGCTCTTTTATGATAAAGCAACACAATTCAGTATAAACAAAAGCTGTTGAAAGTTGCATTTTAAGAATGTCACTCCCATCTACCTATGCAAAACAATAAACATATTTTTGAGTTAAATAGTAGCATTTTCAAGTTCAATATCTTTATTAACTGTTCAGTGTTCTTTGTCAGTGACATATGCACCCTTAGCAAGTTTGGGAAAGATACCAAGCTGACTATTGCAGCTGATGGGCTTGAGGGAAGGTACCATCCACAGGAACCTTGGCAGGCTTGAGAAGTGGGCTTTTGGGAACCTCATGAAGTCTAACAAGGCAAAGAGCACCTGCTCCTACACCTGGGTTGAGGCAATCTCCAGTATCAGTACGGGCTGGGGAATGAATGGATTGAGAGCAGCCCTGTGGATAAGGAGTTGGGGATCCTGATAGATGAAAAGCGAGACATGAGCTGGCAGTGTGCACTCGCGGCATAAAAAAACCCATGACCATCAGGTCAAGGGATGTGATTCTCCTCCTCTCCTATGCTCTGCTCTTGTGAGTCTGCACTTGGAGTCCTGCTTTCAACTCTGGGGGTCGTAGCATAGGAAAAACATGGACCAGAGTGGAGCAAGTCCAGAGAAGGCCACAAAAATGATCAGAGGGCTGACCCTCCTTCCATGAGGAAAGGCTGAGAGAGTTGAGGTTATTCAGCCCAAAGAGAAGGCCTCAGGGAGACCTTACTGTGGCCCAAACCATTTTGTGATTCTAAAAGTCTAAAAAATCAAGTCTTTATGACTGATGTCTTGTTTAGACCTATTCTGCATTTTCAAAATATGAAATGCAGAATTCCATGTAGTAGTTACTTGGAATCAGTTTTAATAAAAGCAAACCTTATAGACTGTGATCAAAGTTTTTATGATAAGCGCAGATTATACTGATGAAATTGTGATGGAGTCACAGAAAAGCAAAGACATTCTTTAACTGGCTTTTAGAATATGGTGTCCAATCTCTTTTTTAAACTTTTCATTATCAAATATACTTGTGGTTATATGTTGAATTATTAGTGTCTTCTTCTCTTTGATTACATTTAACAGAGAGGATTGTTAGCTTGAGTTCCTTAAGAATAGACTTAAATGATTATTCTGAAAGGAGGTGGTCTTGGAAGTCCCCCCATAGGTACAAACCAAGTCTGCTTACTTAAATTCTCATCTCAACACGTTTTCTTTTAAATGCCAGCTTAAGAGTAAAACTCACATGAAGGGCACTATTCCTACCCTTCTCTGCATCAGTGCCAGCTAGCTGTTTTATCTTTTAAGTTCTCAGTGCAATAGTTATGTTTAAACTGGGAGTATAATGAGCTGTACAGATGTCATTAAAGGGCTTCTTTTGCCTTTCAGGTTTAACTAGCATGTTTTAATTGGACAGATGAGCACACACTGTCTAAAATCCAGTGAGAGATAATAATTCTCTAGTTGGACTCCCAATTAATATTTTGTTTTCTCCTGTAATAATGTCTGTTACTCTTCATCTAGGGCTATATAGTAAATCAAAGAGAAACTTAGCTTTTAGTAAATGACCTAAGTCATTCTCAGGTGTTAATTCTCAGGTCTCATTAACAGGAGTTAATGTTTTTCCTGTGTCAGAACAGTACTGTCATGAAATAGGAGTATTACAAATAAAACTAAGTACAGTTAGTCAAGAAGTACTTCTTACATTTCTCGTAGGCAAATGCTTTGAACAGAACCAAAACGAACTATGGCTTGTCTTACAATGACAAATATGGAAAGCACAGCAACTGCTTCTGTCCACCAGAATGGTGACATCCATGGGAATACCAGTGCACCCAGGCAGACAGAACCACTGCTTCAAGTGTACCTTTATCATTCTCCTGGGAAGACAGGAGAAGATTGCCTTCAATTTCCAGCTGGAGAATATGTTGCAGAAGAGCTTTGTGCTGTTGCCTGTAAAGCCTGTGGTAAGTATATGCATACCAGTTTACCTAATGAATTGGTGAAACTCAAGTTTTTAACAATCCAGAGCTCATGAAAATGGTGGCATTTGAATCAAAAGGCTAATTTCGCTGTTCTTTCAGAAGTAATTAGCACCAGGCTGTAAAACTGTTCCCATTAGAACAGTTATGAAACTGAATTAGGAGACTGCCATCCTTTATCAAATAATTTAAGGGTATTTATCCCTGTCCTTTGCCTGGAAGTCTTCCTTCATTGGGCTGAGATATAGTTCGGATAGTTAAATCACTGCAGGAGCCTGGAAATTACTTTCTGATGCAACCCTGCAAAACAGATTGGTCCTGGAAGTAATGCATGTGTTGTGTATTATACATGCTTAATTACTTTGCAGATGGTAACTGTTCTGTTAGATATAACATGAGTTCTTGTCTTTGTCGTTACTGCTTTTCGTAATCATTTAGGAAATAAAGTATGTAAATAGCAGGGTAGTGTATTTTAACACCTGTTGTATTTGGCATATATTGGCTAATATAAATATTAGTCTGTCAAAATGTTATTCTGTAATTGCATGCCAGTTTGATGCATGCATGCAAGAGCTCAACCTTTTTAAAAACATTTTATTTAAAAATCAATTTTTTGAAAAATGTAATGTGTGAAACTTTTGTAGTTTATATTTTTTTTACAGAAAACTGCCTGAACATGAAACTGAATATCATATTTTCCAAGTAGAAACACAAGAATAAATGAAGTGTCTTGAAATTAATTTTATATTGACTGGTCAGTCGTGGTTCAGTTCTTGTATGTTAGCTGGTATGTTAAATGCTGTGTAAAAAATTATAAATGTCACACCAAAACAAATAAAAGTCCTTACTCTCAGCCTGAGGGACAAAGTGGTATTAGAGGAACCAAATGATGGTAAAAATGAAATATGAAGGAGAAATTGTTCTAGAGGTTACAGAATCATTGTATGTGTCTTCTAAATTCAGAATCAAAGACTTGTTTTCTCAAATCATGATCTTAAACCTTTTGATTTTTTCTGATCTCTCTCAAATAATCTTAAATGGAATTTCTCTTTTAAGCTGTTTTTTAATGTCTTTACAATCAGTTTATAGAAGTGTCAGGCAGTCAAGGCCATTTGAACAAAAGTAGAAGTAATGATTCAAGAAAGCCACCAGAGCTGGTGCAAGAGAATGATAATGTAAACTTAATGTTATACTTTACAAAATAAATAAATGTGATTGTTTGCAGAAAAGCTGTAAACTTTGTTCATAATTTTTCTTTTATTCAAAGTGTGAGTTATAAACAAAACCTAGAAATCTGTGTTTAAAAATTAGCATGTGTAATTGAAAATAGCATGAATTGAGTTTTGTTGTGTTTTAGGTAAATCAGATACAGACTACTGGAAACATTTGAAGTCTGAATTTGAATCTTGAATGCATTTTTTGCATACAGAAAGAAAGTTAGTTGATTTATATACTGCATGTGTTACTATGCTGTATCAATAATTCTGCAATCAGATACTTTCCAGTGTCTTTTAAGACAGAGTATTTATCATTAGATAAAGTAATTTTAAAAACTGAACAACTTTGGACTGTACACTATAACTTACCAGAATAATACATTATACAGAAGATGAGTATTGCATGGAAAAATAATTTTCTTTTAATATTCAAACTAACAATTTGTTTGTTTATTCCATTGGCTGAAAAATATGAGTAAAAAATGTGTGCATCACTTGTATGTATAATCCAGATTTTTGCTGTATTCAGGTTAACAAGGTGTAGATATTTTTATACAACACTAGATAAGTGAGTTTGTAAATCATGATTAAAACAGTTATAATTAGAAGCAAAGCATTGCTTTGGTATTAGCCAAATAAATTTATGCCATGTTCTTGAAAATCTTAATACAGTAGTAGCAAGGTAAGCAGAGATAGTCACTTTAAATCTCACAAGAACATTTGAACAGCTCACTGAAAAATGTTTCGACAAAGTCAGCCGGGAGTATAATCTTGTTTATCATCTTACGTTTCTCTCATGGCTTGTCCCTAAGTGTATAAGAATCCTAAATTTCTGTAGGATGTGTTTGACTTTATTTACTGTCTGACAGGCTTTTATTCTCAAATCCTCATCCCTTTCTGTTAGGATCATTAAACTCTGGAATCTTACCTTTTTAATAGAACTAGAATCCCAAGACAGAATGAGTTTTGCAATCCTGACAGGTTTTAGCTGAGTTTTGGGCAGCTAGCAGTTAACAAAAGACTTTGAATTTGATGGCTTCTGTTGGCTTCTGTGTTTGTTGGTTTGGTTTTGGTTTTTTTGATGTTGATATCCTGAAACTCCTAGCTAGGAACCTTTTAATTCTCACTCATCTGATTTGCAAGTAAATTGGAAATTTCATAGTACTTTCCAAGAAAAATGGTGGTGTCTCTTGGAAAACCATAACATTGCAGAGAATTTTTAATTATACTAAAGTAAAAGCATTATTTCAAAACTTTTAATGTGACTAAATGCTGACAGCATTTGCAGTCAATTAAACATTTTCAAGAGAGCAACTGTGTTGCATAATGTGATGATTGTGATGACCTCTTTGCTTGTATGCTTCAGAAGAGATGTCTTGCTGCTAACAAGGGAATTTTAAGCAGATTTTCCCTAATGTGCTGAATTTCCAGAATTCACATGACTCTGAGTTCACATGGCTCAGAGTTACCATTCATTTTAATTAATCATTGGGGGGGTTGTTTTTTTTGGTTAGAGTTTTTTGGTTTGGTGTTTTTGTTTTGCTTTGAGTTTGTCTTTTTTGTTGTTGTTGTTTGATTTAGTTTGGCTTTTTTTTTTCCTTTACATTTCCTGAATATCCACACAGAACATGCTGCCACCTGCAGCTCCCCCACCGTAGGTGAGGAATGAATTAAGCAGAACTCTGGGCAATTCTATTTTGCTAGGAAAGGAAATGCATGCTTTGATTTACTATTCAGAAAGCATTTTGTTGACAGGATAGTGACATCAAATGTGATGTCAGAGTTCAGTAAGCCTCTGGTTTGTATGAAAGATGGAAGGAAGATATTATTTTTATGTAAGAAAAGGCAAGCAAATTTCCGTCTGGTATGTGCGGAGCTTCCTAAGTTTTAAAGAGTTTACTTCCAGTTGTGTGTGAAAACTGACTAATATTCATATTAGACTTTGAAAATTTGAGGTTTTTTTAATTGTTTTTAATCATTCAACTAATTGCTTTTATCTGTATATGTCTAATGACTTACATGCTTGAAATGACAGTTTCATGAAACTATATCTACTATAGACTATGCTTGGCTTTCACATTTCATAGTGGTGTCATGGCTTGTTGTGATTTAGGCTTTATGTTTTTATTTTTTCTTTAAAGAAGGACATTACTTCATGAAAACATACTGTATGGGAGAAAGAGTGCCTACTGCCAATAAAGGAGGAAGTATTAGAAAAACTGTATTTCTTTAGCTGCTTCAGGGTAAATGAAGTAGTGTGACTTGTCTGGATGTGAAACTCTAAAATCATAATGAGGAAAAGATCAAACTACTATGCAAATCATTTTTTTAAGGCTTGAAATAGAAGTTTGACTAATGAGCTTACGCTGTTTTGTAGTCTTCCGTATGATGTACTTGACAGTCTGTAAAGGATGATAAGACTCCTTTCTTTAGCCTTATGTGCTAAATAAATTGTCGAGAGATAGTCTTTGTTTTTGTCTTTGCAGTAGTCCAGAAAATTTGATAGCCCTTGCTGGAGAAGCAAAGTGGAAAAAATTCTGCTTAATTATGTCTGAGTCACTGTCTTCTCTGTAATTTGTCATCAACTGAGTTGATAACATGGTTAGTGCAGTGCAAAAATCCAGGGGAGGCTTTTCAGTACCTCTTGTGAATAGCTTTTATGATTTTACTTAGAAAAATACATTTCTCAGAAGTTTTCACTATTGTTGACATGTCTAGGTTTCAACAGAAGACTTTGATTCCCCACTCAAGTCTTTTTGTTTTCATTGTTTCAGGAGAGAGCACTTAAATACTGCAGTTATTACTCACTTGAAAAGTCCCTGCAATTACATGGCCTCTTTGCTTTTGTCAGATTCCTGTGAATTATTTTCAAGACTCTAATAAAAGGGATTTGCTCTATTTTTTATAATTGTTGAGCATTAAGTATAGCAATGAAATTGCATAGTTCTTAAGGGGAAGGGAAAAAAAGGTGTAATTCCTTTTCTTGAAAGAAAGATCTGTATGTCTTTGAGCACTGGCAGTGTATGGTGCAAGGTACTTTTTGGAACTATAAATGCCAAAGTACGAGAGATGGATGAGTGCAGTTTACTTTTCATACAAAGGAGGACAGCAGGGAGGATTTTTGTTGTTGTTAATATTAACATTTCTTATTGGGAGGGGAGTATGAATGTCATGATCCTTGCTTAGTTAAAGTTTCAGAATGGATTTTGCTGTGGGTCTTTTTGAGAAGCGGAGTGGTGGTGGGGGTGTCTGTAATGTATTTGGTGAGACACAGCAGCTTAACACTTGAATTTAAAATATGACTTGGAAATTTTTTCTAATACAGTGTGCTTACAGGGCTTGTTAGCTGTTTGGGTATATGTATTAGTGAGATGAGGTAAATATTCAGCATTTCCTTGAATAGTGTGTGGCATTTGTGTAGAGTCCTGGCTAGTAATTCTCACATGCATTGCACTGTAATTGATCTGAAATTATTTGGTATACAGACACCACACAGCCTTAAAACTGCTAATTTAATTGTAACTGCTTTATAGACAACTAATATGTAATGTAGTGTAGTTGATCCCACTTCACACATCAAAAGAGAACCATATTGAGTTTTTGGGATACGTTTCTTTTTAACTCCATAAAATATTTCTCTTAACTCGGATTGATCAAATATGTTTTATTGTGCCGTAAATTTGCAACATTTAGATTTACAGTCAGTCCTTCAGTTACTAATCCCTTTGGGTTTGTTCCTGTGGGGGATTTGTTTAGTTTTGGTTTCTCTTTTGTTGCTTTACGTAATGCTTTCCACTTCTGTAGTTTCCTGCAAGTCTATGACTCCTTTCCATAGAAAATCATGTGTTAGGACCTGCAGTTCTGATGTGTTTTGGTGAACTTTGGTTTAAGAAGGCATCAGATGATTAACCTATAGATTTCAGCAGTTTAATCTTCACAACTGCACAATAGAACTCTTGTCTTAGCCTTTTTAATCTACTCCTATAGAGACAAACCTATTTTGTATCAAATTTAATAAACTAGTTGCTATTTAAGAATGAAATATGTTTTGTTCCACCAGGGTATGTGGTATTATATGTGGAGTTGATTCGTTGTTTCATCTAACAGATTCTTTTTACATGTAGTTTAGATGTGATGAGAGAAATTTGGGGTCTGCCCCCTTCAGTAATTACCTAGATGTTGTCCAGAACAGAAAGAAGTAAAGGATTTCTTTTTTCTCCTGGTTTCTTGTGGGAATTTCAATTATTTAATTCTAAGTCTTTGGGCAGGGCTGTGAGTACTTTGCCTTTTCCCATAATTCTTTTGTCTCCTAATGTCATTTTAAGTTACTTTTATTGCCTTTGCCTGTCTTTTTTATTATTTTTTTCCTTTTCACCCCTAAGTGTATTGCTTTAATGGAAAGTTTTCTTTAGTTATGACCTACTATGACTTTGACACTGTAATTTTTCATCCTACTCTCTGACCTCTACACCTGTGTCTCTTCCTGTCTTCAAAATATGTTTGTCAGTGGTTGCGGTTCATCCTTTTGTGTTGTCAATTCTCTGGCATTTAGCCTGTTTTCCAAATCTAACCCTGGCATCACATGGATGCACAACACTGCAGCATAGTACAATGCTGTGGCATCTGTTGTATGTTAGTTTGTGCTTTCAGTTGGGAACCTCAGAGCCAAATTAAAATTCTGGTACTGCTGAAGAGCTGATGCTCAACTGATTTCCATTGTTTGTGATTAAGTAGGATTGCTTGTCATTAACAAAATCCTCAATTGTTGAGGGAAAAAATATTTTCCAGTTCTGTTTTATTAACAATATATGTTTGGGTTTGTTTTTAACTGAGTTACTAAGATGGAAATGGCAGGTGGTTGTCCTAGTCATCATGACTTTCTTTGTATTGCTTTACTACTTATTTTTCATCTGTCTAAAGTCTTAAAATAAATCCCTTGATCTGATTTTGGAAAAAGTAAGAAAAAAAAGTAATGTACTGTTTCTAAACTGAGATGCTAAGAAGACATATCAAATGCCATATAGAAAAAATCTTGCAATCTAACAGTGAAGTACAGGATAACAGGTGAGCACAGTCTGCAATCAGTGAACATAAAGGCAAAATGAGAAATTAAACTATCAAAAGCAGTCTGAAAGTTATGCATAATGATGGCAATGCTGTTGGCAATATTGATACCTGTTGCTGGTAGCAGTAGAGCACTGTGCCAATCTGCTAATTTTAACCAAAAATAGTTTTCTAATACTTTGTGAAAACACTTTCCTGTAGACATTTGCTTCTCTGTTCTTCCTTTAGGTATCATGCCAGTGTACCATAACATGTTTGCACTCATGAGTGAAACAGACAGAATGTGGTATCCCCCAAATCACATCTTCCATGTAGATGAAGCAACTAGACTCAAGCTAATTTACCGGATAAGGTAATCTAAATCAAATGTTATACAACTTTCATGGTCGAAGAAAACTATGTGAGAAAACACAACCATAAGATATTAATTTGAACCATAGTTTCTCTTAGAAGATATGAACAGATTGTTGGTGTTATCTGGAAAAGAGATAGATAAAAGAATCAAAATTATTGGATTGGTTTGAATAATATATTTTATCAATTTTCTATATCCCATATATTTACCAATGTCAGATTGAAGAAGCAAACAGTAAAAAATATAGAAGTAAAAATACTATTTTTCTTGATAATGTTGCATCTCATCTCTTCTGTGCTCATCTATTTGAAATTAGCGATGGTTCCGAAATGCAGAGTAATTACTCTGTGTAGTCAGGCATGCGTCTGCAATAGAACCATTTTTCCCAACCTCATATTTGAATGTAGACATCTAAAACAACAGTCAAAGTTTTCCTTTTGTAAAACATTTTGTTTATTTACATTATATAATGTAACAGTTTCTTTAGCAACTGTTTCAGAGGAAACTAGAAGACACTAATGAAATTCTCTGTATTCTGATGAGTGAGAATAACTTTGCCAAGGTCCTCATTCCTATCACTATAGTTTATCACCCTGCTTAAATGTTGTAGTAGTTGGACACCATGAACTGGATCTGAAGCCTTCGTTGACTGACTGGGATTTCATAGTGGTCCTCCAAGGCAGCCAGCACTAATTACATGTATATGAGAACAATGATGTCTGAAGTTGGTTAGCAAAAGTATGTGTTTATTGACTTTTGCTTAAATCTATTTCCCAACAGGTTTTATTTTCCCCACTGGTATTGCAGTGGCACCAACAGAGCGTATCGGTATGGCATTATTCGCGGTGCAGAAAGCCCTGTTCTTGATGATCTTGTCATGTCTTATCTATTCGCACAGGTATGATTTGCTTGCTTATTTTTTAATGGAGATTGGTAAAGGTTGTCAGTATTTATTCCCTTTCTATCTTCTGATAGTAACTGTGTAGGCTCTTGACAGGTTGAAGCCCACTCGAGATGAAAATTTAATTCCGTGTCCTATTGTATATTTGGAGAGATGAAGCTCAAATGGCAGTTTTAGGGGGAGCATTGAGAGTATGTAGGTTGAACTGACACAATGTAGAACATCCTCCCCATATCGACCTTTTTGAGATTTGAAACAAAACTATTTTGAAAACGGCATTTGTAAGCATGATGGCAGGTGGTATTGCTTATGAACAAGTGCATCTTTTTGTGGATGAAGGAGTTCATTCAGAAGAATGGAGTCTTTAAAAAAAACAAACGAACAAAAATCCCAAACAAACCAAACCTAAGCAATCAAACAAAACAATAAAAAACCCCCCAAAAACTGCAGCCCAAGCCCCTTTTATTGATAAGCAGCAGTGCTGTAGTTTTAATTTGCTTTCTTGTGTTCTTTCTCAGTGGCGAGCTGATTTTTTGGATGGATGGGTACAGATGCCTGTTACTCACGAAACACAAGAAGAATGCCTTGGAATGGCTGTTCTAGATATGATGAGAGTGGCCAAAGAAAAGGACGAAACCCCACTGGCTATTTACAATTCAGTCAGGTAACTCCATAATTCATAACTCTTTCATACCTATCTGATATCTAAAAACAGTATTTTTGCACATTAACATCTGGGAGGAGATGTTCAGCTGCTGGCAATTGATGTATTCAAACGGTTATATAGATCTACCTATAGTGTAAACTAGAAATTAATAGAAGACTTGTATCATCATGGCCATTCATGTTTTGGGGACATAGATTTGGCTCTCTTAATGAAAAGTAAGGCAGCAGCTTCTTATGTGGGAAAGTATGTAAGCAATAATTTGAGGTGAGACACCCTGCTGGAAGTCATCAGATCCAACCTCCTGTTCAGGGCCAACTTCAACGTTAGATGAAGTTACTCAGGCCCTCATCCAGTAAAGTTCAGAAAATGTCCAGACTTTGGAAATTCCACCATATCTCTGGGCAGCTTTGTCCTGTGCATGACCACGCTCGTGGAGAAAGATTTTTTTTTTCTGTATCTAATGAGTTTCCTTTGTGATACTGATAATCCTCTGTTACCTCTTGTCCTTTCACTCTGCATATCTGAGAACTTTACTTCAGTCTTTTCCGTAACACTCTGTTGATTGAAGACAATTAGTAGAACACCCTACTTGAGCCTTCTTTTTTCCAGGCTTAGTAACTCAGGCTCCCATGTGCCTCCTCTCTCATGTCATGTGCTCCAGGCTCTTAACTGTTTTGTGCAGATCTATGCTGAACTTGCTTGAGTTTATCGAGTTCACTTTGGTGTATCAACCTAATGAGTTTCTGCTCTAGCTGAGTTAATTCTGTCCCTGCTTGGTACTTAATGCTTGATGTTTGTCTTTTATTGAAACCTAGCAGGAAGAGATAAAAACAGAATGAGACAACGAATTGGCCAGCTTGTTGCAGCTAATAACTGCAATTCTTTTGCTTCTTGATGTAGACTGTGGACTGTGATATAGGAACTTCAGTGATAACCAACCACAGTGTTGTATTCTACCAAGAAATTTGTCCTTTATCCATATAGTTGCATCTACCTGTGCAGTGTCATCTTTCCAACTTCTACACCAAACCAAGCAACTGTGTAACTTCTGCTGCCTTACCTCAAAACTGAACTAATGAAAGAACAGACATCTCTGGATTTATGGAAAATGCATTATGTAGTATACGTTGCAACTGGAAAAGGGAAAAAAGGAAGAAAACACAGGGCTGTATTTGAAAGAGCATACTATAGACTGAAGGATCCTTGTTATCCTACAGTTTCAAAAATAAGGGTACATTTAGAGGAAAAGATATTTTCATGTTGACTTTTTTAGCACAGAACTAATGATCTTTGCTGTATTTAATGGATAAAATCAGTAGTTTTTTTCTGATTATGTATTCACAGCTACAAAACATTTTTACCTAAATGTGTGCGAGCAAAAATCCAAGACTACCACATTTTGACACGAAAAAGAATAAGGTACAGGTTCCGCAAATTTATACAACAGTTTGGCCAATGTAAAGCTACTGCCAGAAACTTGAAACTTAAGTATCTTATAAATCTGGAAACCCTTCAGTCTGCCTTCTATTCAGAGGTTTTTGAAGTAAAAGAACCTGGTGGAGGTCCTTCTGGAGAGGAAAGTTTTGCAACCATTGTCATAACTGGAAATGGTGGAATTCAGTGTTCAAGAGGAAAACTTAAAGACTGTGAGACACTTGCAGAGCAGGTAATTTTTTAGAATTATTTTAATAACTGTGCAGTTTGTCATATAACAGAGTAATTAGCTTATGTTAGAAGTTCTAATTTACCCCAAGTAAATTTGGTACTTCACAGTAATGATACAATTTCCATATGGCTGAGGATCACAGAAATATATTGTCTTAAACAGTGCAGGATTTTAAAATCAGTTTTTTATTGAAGTATTAGAAGAAAGTCATGTAATAGTTCAGTGCTTGACATACAAAAAATTGTGCTGGACCTTCATGACTGTAAAAAATGTGGAAAAGTAATGACCCTGCCCCAGGTATAAGTAAAATGCACAAATTCCTCAAATTCTCTTAGAAAGCAGGGATTTAAAGATTCCAAACACCAGATAAATTTCCCTGTACCTCTTTCCTGCTGCAGCTAGACTCCTACCAGTGTCTGAGTTAGCAAATTTAAAGTGACATTTCTGTGACTGCAGAATCCATCTAGTCTTTGTTCAGGAATTAAATGCTAAATGGTTCCTATAAGTGTTAGTAATCATGTACTGCTGCATTTTTATTTAACAGTATTATGTCTTTTCTGTGTGACTTCCCATTGCGACTGTTCATTATGTTGAGTTTGCCAAAACGTGATACAAACTTATAGCAGTATATATTAAGAGTGCAGAAATTTTCCGAAGGTAAAAGTAAATGCAGAAGGGAGCACATGTGAGTTTTCCAAAATAAATGCATCTGTTTGCTACTTTTGATTCATAATATATAGCAGTCAAGACCAAACTACAAAAGATTGTGTTTTTCCGTATGCTGTAATAATTTGTAAAGATGAGGGTTTTTATACTGGAGGTTTTTTTCAATACTTAACAAAAATAAATCTGATTACATACCCAGGTTTTTTAAAGTGTGGTGTTCTTAGATAATTTGTACATAATTCATGCATACTATGCTGTTTAGGCCTGGCAACCAAGCCTTTATTAACAGTAGTGTTTAAGTGGATCATCTTTCCTATAGAGATTGCCAAATTATTTTTTCATAATTAAAAATATTGTCATTCCATTATTGAGAGAGACGTCATATATTTTCAATGGTACAGAAACTGTTTATAAAGTTGGTTATGAAAACCCAGTGAACCAGTATGGCTGCTTGTAAATGTGATCATAACTCTCAGCAAACTTTACTGATGAACATTTATTAAGATGTTGAATTGAAACAAAATTTTTATTTATTTGTATAGAATGACATATATGGGGTAAAGTGGGAAGAAATTTCTTCTGCAAGTTCACATTTTCAACAACCAGATGAACAAATTAAGCATCAGAAACTTCAATGCATTTGAGATGATTTATATGTCTAATTGAGGTAGTCTGATTTGAATAAAATCTATTAGCTTAGGGAGAATAGTTTTGGATACATAAATCTAGCTTTATTTAAAGCTGTTACTTATCACCTGAAGTTCTACTGAAAATAAAACAAAGTGTGATTTTTATGACAGTGTAATTTGACTTGTGAAAGACTGAAGGTAGTGGTACAGAATATCATAGTATCAAAAAGTACCTGTACTTGCTGTCAAAAAAAAAAAAGTGTATTAGATTTTTGTTTAGTTAGGATTGGTTCTTCAAGTTACCTAGTCAGTGATGACCGTGGCTGATAGGACAACTTTCTCTCACTGTTTCTTCATTCACACTAAATCCATCTCTTTGCTAGCAGATTTTGTAGCTCTCAAAACTGTTATCAAAATGTTCCATTGTTAATCCTTGCAAAATACTACAAAGGAAAAAATATCTACAATTATAAAAAGACAAACCTATGTATGGATATTTCTGTTCATGGTTCCTGGATCTCTGTGTACTCTTTAAATTACGTTCCTGGGGATGGTTCCATAAACACAAAACTCCTTTATTTATTTGTAATTGCATGTTGAAGGTTTTATGGTCCTCTTTGTTGCCAGCTTACAAGTTCAGAATTGTAGGAATTCCAGTGCTGCAAATAGGTGAGGTTTTTTAATTGCCATTTATGTTATTGCTACATTATGTACCCAATATTTGTTGCAGGATTTACAAACATATTGTGATTTTCCTGATATCATTGATGTCAGCATTAAACAAGCAAGCCAAGAGGGCTCCAGTGAGAGAAGAATTGTCACGATTCACAAACAAGACAGCAAGAATCTGGTCTGTTTACTTTGATTGCTGTTCTTTCAAATAGATATTGCTTTGAGCAGACTTGTGTGATTGTTGTGTATTTAGTATTTTATAGCCAAGTACTGTGTTAATTAAGCATGAGGTAGAACTAAATGCATTTCGGCAGTGTAAGTGGTATATCGGAACAGTAAAGGTCTTCTGCATTCAAAGCTCCTTGCATGGAAAGGGATATTTATATCTGAAGAAAATTTCTGATATACAGATTGGTTCTTTTGTTATTAGAGTCTTGAACCTGTGTCTATTGTTTTAATTCTCAAGTGTACTGTTTCCATGGCATCATGCTAAGCTCTCTGCTAGAGACCAACACACTGAAAAAAGCTTCAAATTTCTCTGAAGGAATGATGATACACAATTATTGGAACAAAATTAAGGTCATTGCTTTTACTGTTTAAGATTCTTTGAAGAAGATCTTAAGGAAGTGTTTTATACACGAACGTAAAAGGTTTTTTGTTTGAACTCCAACATTGCACTTGAGTCAGGTTTTCCAGCAGGTATAACTGTCACGGAGTTGTGTGGTCGACTGACCCTGGCTGGATGCCAGGTGCCCATCAAAGCTGCTCTAATCACTCTCCTTCTCAACTGTATAGGGGAGAGAAAATACAAAGAAAGACTTACGTGTTGAGATAAGAACAGGGAGAGATCGCTCACTGATTACTGTCATGGGCAAAAAGGACTTGACTCAGGGAAATTAATTAAATTTATTGCCCATCAGTTCAGAGTAGGGTAATGAGAATTAAACCCAAATCTTATAAACATCTTTCCACCTCCCTTCATCCCAGGCTTGACTTTATTCTTGATTCTCTACCTCCTCCCTCTCAGTGGCATGGGAATTTGGGAATGTGAGTTGTGGTCAGTTCATCACGTGTTGTCTTTACCACTCCTTCTTCCTCACACACTTACCCTGCTCCAGCATGGGATCCCTCCCATGGGGGGACAGTACTCCATGAACTTCTCCAGTGTGAATCCTTCCCACAGGCTGCAGTTTTTCATGAACTGCTTCAGCATGGGTCCCTTCCACGGGCTGCAGTCCTCCAGGAACAGACTGCTCCAGCTCCATAGTGCATCCTTAGTGCCAACAAACAAGTTTCAGTGCAGGCTTCCGTGGGGTCACTCCGTCCTTGAGGCAAATCCACATGCTCTGGCGTGGTGTTCTGCATGGGCTTCTCCACAGTAGACCTCCATGGGCTGCAGAGGCACAACCTGCCTCACCATTGCCTTCACCACAGCCTGCAGTTGTTTCCTGTTCCTCTTAATAAGGAGTTTCAAGACTCCAAATTCTTGGCACCTGCTCAAAAGTGCCAGCTTTTTTAATTGCTGTCTAGCAAGGAACTTGCCAAAGAATTGTTTTCAGGTGCTAAGTGGGTCCCCATTGTCACAGGGAAACTAGTGCAGCGCATACTAAAGCCCGCTCTGTTGGGCTGCACTGCTTACTGAATGAAATCTAGGGTGACTCAGAAAATGGCAGATGCTTCTCTATTTTTCTTTATTTGCAGTAATAAATATGTTGTTACAGACAGATTTAATTTTGCTCTGCTCTCACCTGTTCGTTATACTGTGAATAGACCTTTTCCACACATATTTTCCTTTGACCACATTATTTTTCTCCCAGCTTCCATGCAGTGTACCTGTCTTTCTGGTAGTTAAAGGTGAGCTTCTCTCTGTGATCCAGCTCAGGATGCCAGGTTTTCGGGCAGGTACTTTTCTAGAGATTTTTCTTTGCTACTTGAAGGCAGTCATGTAAATCTTTGATAAGTGAAGGCTTTCCTTTAGGAAGAAGAGAAACACGGTGTTGGCAGTGCAAGTAGGTGTCTGCCATGCTGAGTTGTGCCTACTCAGTTTTTCCCTTTCAAATGTTCTCTCATTTCAGCATTCCTCTGCTGTTTCATATATTTAGGATAAGATGTTTGGGTTTTTTTAATGGCAGATTTCATAGAATCATGGATGGTTTGAGTTGGAAGGGACTTCAAAGATCATCTAGTTCCAACTCCCCACTATGGGCAAGGACACTTTCCAGTAGACCAGGTTGCTCAAAGCGCCTTCCAGGGATAGGGCATCCACGTCTTCTCTGTTTTGTTTGGTTTGTGCTTGATTTTGAACATTAAAGATTGCTATCAAGTTTTGAGTGACAACAAGAAGGTAGAACATACAGACAGCAGTTAAAAACTACTTTTATTCATGTCTTTAATGTATGCATATATGTGTAGCTTTTATACCGCTAGCATATCCAGGAATTTTCTGTTGCCTACTAAAAATTTACATTCTGTCTCTCCTCCCCCTCCACCATTGTTCTGTGTCAATTTAACAGGAGGCTGAATTTCAGTCATTAAGAGAAGCTCTCTCCTTTGTATCATTAATTGATGGATATTACAGATTAACTGCAGATGCCCATCATTATCTCTGTAAAGAAGTGGCACCACCATCAGTCCTGGAAAATATCCAAAGCAACTGTCATGGACCAATTTTGTAAGTAATTTTTTTAGCAATTTAACAATGTGATATTTGAAAGATGAGCTTTAGTTGACTGTGAACTGTGGTGGACATCTTAAAATGTGCTTTTATGTAACATGAAATGCTTTTACTCTTATTTTTCACTTTGAAAAATACTTAAGCAAACGCCCTAAATATCGAAAAATAAAAGGGGAAAAAGATTAATTTAAAGGAAGCTGTAAAAAATTGCAAGTTTGAATTGTTGTTACATTAGGTATCTGTTAATATTGCTCGTTAGCCAATCTCTGATATTCCTGGATTTTGAAATAATATGATATTAAACATTTTCTTTTTACTATAGCATGGACTTTGCTATCAGTAAACTGAAGAAAGCAGGTAATCAGACTGGTTTCTACGTCCTTCGCTGCAGTCCTAAAGATTTTAAGAAATACTTCCTTACCTTTGCTATAGAGGTTTGTATTCTATCTTAAATAGTACCTGTTTAATCTTTATTGTGATATAATGATAAGCCTGGGGTGTTCAGTAAATGATTCTGAATTTTCCCTCCAGAATGTTTGTGTGATGTGTGTATTCTTAGCTACTTCTGTCAGACTGGCCAACTTTCAGGGTCTTGTGAGCAACATTAAAGTGCTTGTTTGGTAAAGAATTGCTAATGGCACATACCATATGCCTAGGAGACCAAGACAGGAAGAGGGAAGACAGCTTGGGGATGGTGATGTGGGTCTTGGCACTGTAGTAAATATTTGGGAGGTGGAGCAGTTTGATGGATTTATTTTATTTTTTTAAAGTTTGGGGTTTTTTTAGTTGGGTCTTTTTCCCCTAGGATTTCTGCATGTCTCCTCCCCCCTCACCAATAGGACTTACTTAGCCAGAGTTGATTATCCAAGAGTATCTCTCCTTCACAAGTTCTTCTGGGTTCAGGTCCTATCCCCATCCCCAGTACTGGGCCAGCGATATTGTTTGTCAGCTGTTATGTCAACACAGGTTTTCTGAGGATGTCTGGTGTTAGCTAGAGAGAAAGCCACCCTGGAAATGCATGCAATTCTCACATAGGTAAAGAACGGGAAGTACCCCTCCTATGTGACATTGCAGTTAGTGATAAGACAATACCTTAATATTGCTGATACATAATTGCATGGTCTTGTTCCAAGAGTGGACTTCTCTTTAATTACATTAACAGAGCTACCTTTGGGCTTTCAAGTAGGCTAGGTAGGGCATGGGGTTTCCTGCTGGTATGCAGCAATCTAGCGTGTTTGCTAATACTGACAGAGATATGTACATCTCTGAAAATGAGAAAGTAATGTTGGTGTGTGAATGAAGAAGTAAACATCAGTTTCACAGAAATGTTATGTCCAGTCAATTATGTGTTTGATAAGGAATTTCATAAACAAAGATATCAGTTCCTGAGGCAAAATGTGAGTGTCAAGCTTGTGAGTGAAGCCTACCATTGCCATTAAGTTTCTTGGCCCCAATTTTTCTTCCCTTGTTCTGAGTCTTGCACAAGTCATTGGAAGGCTTTTGAGATTCAGATTTTGTCAGAACATTTGCTGCAGTATTGAGATGAAGAACCAGGAATGCACTATTAAGAGCTTATCTTGTTTAAAAATGTTTAATGGTATCTTTTCAAGACTCATTGTAAAAATAATTCAGTGCATATTGAAAATCTGTGCTAGGAACTGATTTCTTAGAACTGTACTGTAGATAACAGAAAAATAGAACTATAGCTGAGATCTCCAAATGCCTGCCAAAAGAACATGGAGCAGAACCATTTGGGCTATTGCTTCCATCAGAATTTTGTTTTGTTATTACCCCATGTCAGAGTGAATAAGCTTTCATTAATAGCTCTGAAGGATTTTTCCTAGGATCCATTATCTGTTTTCTCAGCTCCATCTTTGCAGCTTTCATTAACATTTGTTTTTCTCTAGCATCAACATGCTAGTTCCAGTGATGGGAGTAGAGTCATGTTTTCTCAGAATCAATATTACACAGTGAGAGCAAAATAACAAATTATGGTCATCTTTTGCTGGAGCATTCTTTTTTTAATTAATAGAGTGCTATACATTTAAATAAGCTTTCAAATATTAAATATTAATCAATTTTATTTTTAATGGAAAAAAATCTCTGCAGCGTGACAATTCGACAGATTATAAACATTGCTTAATTACGAAGAATGAGAATGGAGAATATAATCTTAGTGGAACAAAGAGAAGTTTTAGTAATCTGAAGGATCTCTTGACGTGTTACCAGACAGAAACTGTCCGTTCAGACAGCATAATTTTCCAGTTCATCAAATGCTGTCCCCCAAAACCCAAAGGTAAGAGAAATATTATTTCTAAACAGAAGGCTTTCCAACTTCTAAAGATTTAAAAATAAGTTAACACAAATGACTCTGAGGTAGATACCTGTGTTTGTGTGGGTTTTTCTGAATTTCACTGAGCTATTTGTTTGTCTTGTTAGTCACAGTGTTCAGTCCCACTGCCTGCCAAATTTTATTTTGATATAAGATGGTCTTCCAGAAGTAACCATGGTAGCCAGTTTCATGATTAGAAGTAAAACTGGTTTCTTAATTGAAGTGGATTGTGTGCAGCAGCATTTCTTCTTCAGTCAAGTGTGTTCATGTCTTGAGAAGGAAAGAGTACTTAAATGTATCATTTATCACTGAGGATGGTTTCATAAGCAATGGAACCCATAAATGTCAGTGAATTTTTGTCATTGTTGACATCTTAACTGAGTTATGCCAAAGCTGTGCTGTGATTTCAGCTTCTTTTTAACACTGAAAAATACACAGGGAATAGAGCTCCTGCCTGAGGAGTAGATTTTTCTTGACTTCATGTTAAATTTTTTTGCCTACCTTTAATATTCTTAATATCTTTCTCTTTTATGAATTCTGTTAACATCTGCCCTTCTAAGTAGTATTACTTACAGTTAATATTGGTTAGTCTTAGACTCTATCAAAGTCCCTATTTAAAGAAAAACTTGTGACAAAAGACTATTTGATATCACTTCTGCCTCTCTCGAATTTGACTGAAAATAGCTAATGGATTCAAAACCTTTGAAAAGATTTAACAAGTAAATATGTATGCACGTTATAGAGAATGATTTTGTAGACTTATTCAGTATGAAACCAAAAATGTATATGCATCAGAATTATAAGTTATTGAATAAATATGATCATGTGTTACCAGATACTCACAAAGATATACTTTTCAGCTTTAGTTTTAATATCAGACCTGCTCTACTCTGTAATATAAAAGAAGGTGACTTTCATCCCCTTTTCCATCCCTGGTTATTACAGCAGCAGTTAAAATGTGAAAGAAGGTAGGAGTATTTTCAGAATGTTTGTCAAAAGTAGGAATACTTAAAAAACAAAATAAGTGGGTGAACCTAGATGCTTTTGCTGATGAGAAAATATGAGACTTTGAATTAAATTAAATACCGCGTGGCTTTTTGAATAAACTGTTCTCAATGTAATATCTTATTTGAGTTGAATTAGCCACCCCTCATTAATCCTTCTCAAACTATGTTGGTTTAGTTTTATATTTTACAAATTTTCTGTGGTTTTCCTTTCCCTCTTTCTTCTCCCAGATAAATCAAATCTCCTAGTCTTCAGAAGCAATAGTGTTTCTGATGTACCTTCATCACCTACGCTACAGAGACACAACAATGTCAATCAGATGGTCTTTCACAAAATCCGCAATGAGGACTTGATATTTGTAAGTCCATTAGTTGCTTTTTCTACTGCAGATATTGGGTTTAATACGTACCAAGTTTTAAAAACCTCTGTATGTGTTTAAAAGAGTCTTATCTGAGCCAGGAGATTTTGCTGTAATCTTTTCTTAGAGTTGTGGAAACAAAATATTTATTTTCATTTTCCATCAATGCAGATAATTACTTTTGTAAAATTAAGAAGCTTCCTTTTGACTACAATAGCAGTTGTTTGCTTCTAGAGTTAACATCAATTCCTTTCTCTCTGGTTCTCGCAGCAAGTTATTTTCTGAGATTCTTGAGGAATCAATAAGAAATAATCAAAGATTTAAGATGTTTCTGATATAGTTGTTTCCTTTTACCATCAATTTGACTCTACAGCCAGCACACCTCTAAAGATTTACATATGTGTTAATTAGGGATTTTTTTTTAAGAGATCTTTTGCAAAACAGGCAGATATTTCTGATTTTTTTCCCATCTGTATCCTTCCTTTCTTATAGGAGGAGAGTCTTGGACAGGGCACATTTACTAAGATTTTCAAAGGTGTAAGGAAAGAAGTGGGAGACTATGGCCAGCTCCATCAAACTGAAGTTCTTTTAAAGGTGCTGGATAAAGTGCATAGAAACTACTCTGAGGTTGGTGTTCAGTGCTATTACTTCTATAACATTTGTCCAAAGCATTACTTTTCTTAAAATAAATTAGTATTTGTTATATAGTAGAGTGCTGTATTGTTTAACCAAGCTCGTTCTTGGACTTGTGACAAACTGGGAGTATGGATTTGAGACTGACTTTGGGAAGTACACCTATGTATTTTATTTCCCCTCTCCCCACCACCCATCAGAGAATTCAGAGCTACCCACTGAGAACTGAAGAACAGTTTAGTTATACAAGTACCACAGAAGAGGTGGTATGGCCCCAGAATTGTCTTAACCGGTAAATTGCATACAGATGAGGGACCAGCATTTATGGTAAATCACTTTCTTTGAATAGACTGTTTTCAGTGTTTTGGAGTCATACAGATTCTCCAGTGAAATCAACATTTTGGATCAAGTAATAAAAAATCAGAAGTATTTATGTATGAGAAACACTTGCCATATATAGATTCACCCATATTCACTGAGGCTTTCCACTTTTTGAGTGAAGCTGTTAGCAAACCTGAAATGCCCTTGTGTAAAAACTAATACACTGGTGATGTAATTGAGCCCAAGATTGTGTATGTTATTTTACAGACTTTCACAAGATGTAGTAGTGTTTATTATATTAATGTAACTTCATATGGCTGTTTATTGTTTATTTAAATATATAATTGCTACAAATTCCTAATTAATCTAGCTGTATTTACAGCAAGCCAAGAGAACCAGTATACTGTTTACTGAACTTTTCAATTACTTAAGACAAATCTATATGAAATGTGAGCAAAAAAGAAAGAGGCATTTCAGGTGGCTAATATTGATAAGCAGTATAGGCATACACTTTGGACAATTGAAAACAGTAAAGAAACCATAAACCTATTATAATTTTAATAAGATGGGTAATATATTTACATTTTAAAGTTGAGTGGAATCAGTTACTAAAAGCTCAGAGAGTATAGAAATAAAAATATTTCTGAAGGAAAAATGTGCTCATTTTGACTTTGCTTTGTTGGGTGAATGATCAGTACACAAGCAAGTGTAGTTGGAGATACTGCTGAAGAGAATAAAAAATTATTAAAGAAATAAAAGCATTTGAAACTTTCCTGACAAAGTTAGATAAGGTCTTGCAGTAATGGATTAATTATATAATACTTGTGTTTTAACTTAATAGTATGCTAAAAAGAGACAAATTGGAAACTGAATAGTGCATTATGACAATAAATTAGAAACGGAATAGTGTGTTGCTAACTTTTCAAAGTTAACTGACATTGAAGAAAAGATTCTTTGAAAAATGTTGAGATACATCTGCCTGCAGAAAAAAGATATTGCTAACCCATCTGGAATGTGGATTATCAGTTACGTAGAAAAAAAAATGAGACAAAAAACCCCCACAACTGAGAAAATTCAAAACAAAACCAAAAACTTCCATAAAACAACAACAAACAATATAAAATATGTTACATAGGGTCTTTACAATGGGATAGAAGTTGAAATGTTTTCAAAAATGCATATGATTTAAATAAATTTATTAGAATTTTAGGGCTTTGTTTTCACTGATATTTATTTTTTCTCACTCTCTCCCCTACCAAAAAGTCCTTCTTTGAGGCAGCAAGTATGATGAGCCAGCTTTCTTACAAACATCTGGTGTTAAATTATGGAGTCTGCGTGTGTGGAGAAGAGAGTAAGTAGAAATTAATTATCTTCTTGTAGTGATTTTATACATCTCTGTCATTAGAGTTTGAATAAAAAACAGGGAAAAACAGGGGAAAAGAACCACCAAAACAAAACAATTAGAGGCAGCAGCTGGGCAACCAATACATATTTACATTGCAGTAGTATTAGTTTTGGTGTCTGAGAACTAGTTAATGTGGTGATAACAAAGAAAAGGGAAACATTGTCTTAAGTACAGTCGGTGTGAATAGTAACCTCTGTAAGTGACTGAGTCATGTCTGTTCTGTCTTAAGTACAGTCGGTGTGAATAGTAACCTCTGTAAGTGACTGAGTCATGTCTGTTCTGTCTGAGGATCGCACATTTGAAAAGTCTTGCTGAACCTCTGAAACAAGTTTTTGAGATGCCAAAGAAGTTGCACCCCCTATGTTGTATCAAGTGTGGTTAGCAAGAAAGGGAAGTGCTTGGCTACCCAAAAAACCCTTCGTTTACTGTGATCAGAAACTGCAACCCTTTTCCACACATGTGCTGACTTTGTGAGCACAAATATAGCTTTGGGAAGTTTGGTTTAGAGGTCCCATTCTGAAAACACGAGGTCCTATTACTTCAACAAAAACACTACAAAGTATTAACAGCAGTAAAATCTTTTCCTTGTCTGCAGAAGTTGATTGTCTTTTCAGTTTAGCTGCCTTGTGACTGTGTACTAATAAGGAGGTTTTTTTTAAGAACACCTGGAATACATTTATACCATCTTGTAATGAAATCTTTATTTTGAATGGTTTTCATATGCTCATGTATGCTATCTCCAAATAGGCACTGCTAGGTCTCACTTTGGCAGTATTTCCTCTTCGTGCAGTCTTTGGGCAGAAATGTCAGTTTGCCCTAAACCCTTTCTTTTTCTGTGATTACAAATTTGTACGAAAGAAAGCATTTTATAATAATTGTATAATCATATTATGTAGATGGTTGCTTTCATTAGGGAGAAAGAATTTCCAGAGGAGAAGGTGGGTTCTGTATCAGGAGTTACCTCTCTTAGAAGGCTGGAAGAAGTACAGCACTATGTTTGGCCAAGAACTTGTGCAAGCTTTACAAAAACAACCCAAGGGGTTTTTTTTTCTATTTCTGTAGTCCCTGTACCCCACACAGGGACTATATATAAAATTTCAGATAGATTAAGTTTATAATTGACAAAAATAATTTTTTTTATATATATATAGTTACTTATTTCACCTTTAGATCGTGGTTGTCCTCTACAGATTGTTCTGTTTCTGAAGGCAAAAGACTTATTACAATTTAATAAGAGCTAGTTACTAAGAAGTAGGAAGAAGCAGCTGTTATTGATTCTGTGGTTTACGCGATGTACAGATTTGATGAAAATTGTTTCACATAATTGCAAAAAAAAGAATAAATTCGCTGTCTGTAAAATGAATTTGTTAAAAAATCAGTTTATTTATTACAGACAAATTTAATACCAGTAGTTTCCAGTGTCTTTAGAGCCTAAATAAGAAACTAAATAAGAAATGCTCACTATTGCAATGTGAGCATCTTGCAACTGAGAGCGAGAGTTCAATCCTTTAACTTGAAATTGTTGTGTTGAAAGCGATGAAGAGAACACTTCATCGCTTTGAATGGATCTTGTTTCTGGTGTTACTTGCTGGGTGACTGCATGGAGACATATATGTCTTATATATTTAGTACCAATACTAGTCTGTTTTTAAGAAGAGTGTCTTTTGTCAGTAAAGCATTGTATCTGTCACCAAGAATAAAGATTGTAAACAACAGAGAAGTGAATTATTTGAATGGTATTTGACTCACTGCTGTATACTACTATGCTTTGTCAGTAATAACATTATTTACTGTGCCTTTCAAGTGAGGGTGGAATGATGCTCATTGTATTTTACCTAATTTGTAAAAGGCTACTAAGTCTAGTAATTTTGCATTTGAGATGAAATTATGTAAACTTCCACACACTGAAGAAGTATAAAGAACACGGAATATTTGTGGCAATACTCAGATGTCATGTAGCTTCAAAGTTATAGTTAAATCACCAACAAGGTATCAAAAAAGAGTGGTACTAAGAGTCATGAATCTGTCCTGAAATTTCATTTTTTGTTGTTGTTTTTTTTTAATTTTTACCTTTTTTACTATTATAAATCAGACATCCTTGTACAAGAATATGTAAAATTTGGATCCTTGGACACATATTTGAAAAAGAACAAAAACATTATCAATATTTTGTGGAAGCTGGAAGTAGCTAAACAGTTGGCATTAGCCATGCATTTTCTGGTAAGTAGTTGAATTTTGTTAATTCAAGTGTTTCAGACTAATGCATGTAGAAAGGCTGAGCTATTACCCCAAATCTTCAAACTCTGAAGGGTATTTGAAATAGGCTAGGCATACACCAAGTATTTAGTGAGATAGGCAAGGGCAGATTTATATCTTGCACAAAGTGTAATTGAATGTACCATTCTTTTTTAATGCTCTATGTTTTACCATGAAATAAAAACACATTTCCAGAAACGTGTTTTCTACTTTTTTCCCCACGAATCAGTCTTTTCTGGACTTCTCACCTAAGCTCATGATGCTGAATATAAACTATTTCTTGATAGTGTTATTACTTACCCACTGGGAGGGGAAAACACTGTACTGTTCACACTGCTGATATATTCTTTTTCGGCATTAGGTCCCAACCTTACAGTATGTTTAATTCAACATAAAGGCCATTTATCCAAGACAGGGTATGTGACTAGATGAGTCTTTCCTTTAAGAGAGTTTAAATGTTCTTACATTAATTTTAATGGATAATACTGATGGATTAATATTCTTCTGAGTAGTCAACATACATCAGATGGTTTTAAACTTGAAACTTTAGGTAGACAATGAAAATTGACTGGAAACCATAACTTTGAGAGGAACTGATGAAGTGTTTGAGGTTTGATAAAACTTATTCTATGATCATTATTTTATTTGCTGATGTTTCCCTCATGCTGTACAGTATTGGTTTTTACATACATCTTCCACCGAAAGACCTCTTTTGTTGATATGTAAAAGATGCATTTCTGTTTATAGGAGGATAAAGGCCTTGTTCATGGGAATGTCTGTGCAAAAAACATCTTGCTTATCAGAGAGGAAGATAGGAAGTCTGGAAACCTTCCATTTATAAAACTAAGTGATCCTGGCATCAGTATTACAGTTTTGCCAAGAGACAGTAAGTCTTTGTGTCAGCTTTCTTGTTCAGTGCTTCTGATTTGAAAAATAAGTTTGGGGCTGGGTTTTGTTTTCTGACCAGCATCTAAGGTACTTCTTTTATAGTAAGTTTCTTTATCTATCTGTCATTTTATAATAATCTCTGCAGTCCTAGCCAAGCAGTTTTGAGTGTATATTCTTTATCAGAAATAAACTACAGAAAACAAAGGCACAATTCTCCATTGTGTAAGATTTTTTTTTTCCTGATTATTCTCATTTTCAACTTCTTTTCACTGGTAGTACTATGCTATAATGTATGCTACAATGTAAATGTATCATATGGTCTGTTGCATTTGCACTTAGCTGCTGAACTTAGTGTCTTGTAATTGATCAAGTATTTTAGAGCATGGAGAAACTTTCAGAACTGAAAGAAAACACACTTTTAAAATGCTGACTGGCAATTAAAAATCATCTTCAGTGCATGTCTTGGTGAATACCTGAAGCCAGTGGATGACTTTAAAAGTACTGGGTTATCATCCACCATAGAGATTGTTTCAATGCTTTGTAAACAGCATAATTAATTAAAACCAAAGAGTGTGCAAGATTATTATCCTAATGGAACGAAGTAACCTTACTATTCTTTTTGTGGTCTTTTTAATAATTTTGGAAAAATTAAAACACTTCATACTTGGCAATCTTATACATCCCTAAGGAAATAATGCATCTAAGAGCCTATAAGCAATGTGGTGCCTTCATTTTCCAATAAACTATTTAAATTCTACCTGTTCTAATGTGAAGCCTACATTAATCTTATGCGATCTCATTTTAAGGAGCTCTAGATCCACATCCCTACAATCCCATGTTTTAAATTGTTACTACAGTCCGTATCGATAGTTTAGTAATCAGATAGTATGAAATTCCTTTTCATGGTGCCTTTTGCTGTGCCATAATGTGCCAATCACTACCAAAGTAATTTTTACTCTTTGACATGTAGTTGCTTTGTGGTAGCTACTAAGTCTTGGTAACATTGTGGGAAATGCAGATATCAGAGAAAAAGTGTAATGTGGAAATGGTGTTAAGTAAATTTTGTACCATTAGGCTTATCTTACAATAAAACTCATGATACCCCACTCTGATTCTTATTTTTGTCCATATTCTCTAACTTGCTTTTTTAGGCAGGAACAAAAAGTTGGAAAACTATTAAAAGCATATTACGGAGTGAAATACCTATGTACACAAAAGTGATTTTTACCAAATCAAAGATATGATGGAGTTTTCTGGTTTTATTATTCATCTTAACATGTTTCCTTGGTGTGATTGCACAGTTCTTCTTGAGAGAATACCATGGGTTCCTCCTGAATGTATTGAGAATCCCAAACAACTAAGCCTGGCCACAGACAAATGGAGTTTTGGTACCACTTTGTGGGAAATCTGCAGTGGAGGAGACAAACCCCTGAGTGCACTGGATTCTTCAAGGGTAGGTATTACTGACTCTGCAGTCATAACAGTTCTTTGACCACTTCTAATTTAAAACATCTGCTGTTGTAACTACATCAGCATGTAAAGTGTTGTGGTACATGACCACTGTAGGAAAGAGATATTTCTGCTGGTATATAATGATCAGAAGAGATAATTTGAAGTTTGATTTTGTTATTTGTTTTGATTTTATGAGGGCAAAGTACAGTATTGTCAGTTTTGTCTTGTTCATATTTCTGTTGCTTTGTTGCAGCAGTGTATCACTTAAAACAAAAAGTATTCCTAAAAATATTAATGGATTTTAATTGACATTATTCTAGGAATTGAACATCTTAAATACTGTAGGACTTTGTGTGTTGCAGACAATTCTATTTTAGCGAAACCAGAAATAATAATTTTATCTCAAATAGGGGCAGGGGATGGAGGAGAAACATATTCCATAAAAATACTATGTCATATATATTCACTTCTGTAGTTGGAAGCAAAAAGAATACTTTCCTATGCTACAAAAAGATTTGTAGTATTATTTTTATAAGTGAACTGTAACCTTCTGACAAAGCCTGATCTGATTTCTCAAGTATCTTAATCACTTCTTACAATAAGCTCCAAGGGTTACCTAGACCATCTAAGTATTTAAGAAGTTGCCCTCCTTTCCTGTTGTCTACATTCTTTCATAATACTCATGAAGCTCTTTACAGCTGTGAGCTCAGCCAGCTTCACAGATCCATAGAATTCTCTGCTGGACCCATCCAGTTGTGGTTTTATGGAATTACCAATAAAGGAGGTGCTATTTTTCTCATCTTTCTCTCTTATCTTCCTTCAATAACTGTCTGGAAATTTGTGAACTGATTGCTCTAAATTATACCAGCCTTTTTTTTAATGGAAAATGTTCAGATATACATTCAGTGAGATAACAAGCCTAGGCTGAAAGCTGTAATTTTTGGCTGCTCTGGTGAGAATGTTAAGGCTTCTGTAACCCTTAATGGTTGTAAAATGTAAAATGACTTATCTATTTAATTCCAGAAACTACAGTTTTATGAAGATAGGCACCAGCTTCCTGCCCCCAACTGGACGGAACTTGCCAACCTTATAAATAACTGTATGGATTATGAGCCAGATTTCAGGCCTTCTTTTAGGGCAATTATACGTGATTTGAACAGTTTGTTCACTCCAGGTGAGTCTGTGATACAGCAGGAACACGCTAGACAAAAAGAACCCTGGTTCCTATTGGTTCACTTTCATGTAGTGTCTTCCTTCTTGGTACATTTTTTGCAGTACATCTGTGTCTTTGACTGCAAATTACTACATAGAAATTAAGGTGGCTGTTAATATTCTACTGAGGTTGGAGGATGTCAAAGAAAGGTAGAACATGCCATGACTGTAATAAGGTTCTTCCTTTTTTTGTTCATTACTCTGTGCCTTCTGTTCCCTTTCTTCTCTCCTTCCTTCTGCCTCTCAGATTACGAGCTATTGACAGAAAGTGATATGTTGCCAAATATGAGAATTGGAGCACTTGGATTTTCTGGTGCTTTTGAAGATCGGGACCCAACACAATTTGAAGAAAGACACCTTAAGTTTTTACAGCAACTTGGCAAGGTAGGCTGTTTAAAATTCTCTAATAGTCTAGGAAATAACTGTGTTTTTCAGTTATCTTTTTACAACCCCATGTACATTATTTACATTAAAACTTCTGTTACAGAAATTAGTAATTTCAGTCATATCCGAGCACCACGTGCAGTCCCTTTTTTCCTCTTTTTTCACTTCCACAGTATCCTTAGGTACTGCGAAAGTTAGCTGGCCTCCACAGTGGATCAGTCACATCAAAAGGCTGGAGTATTTTTCTGTAATGAAGAGCTGGCTCTGACATAATCTTTATATATATACATATATACACTTACACACACACGCATACACGCTCGGTGTTCAGTTAACAATACTCTGGAGCAGTCTTGCACAGCACTAGTGGGATTGGGTTTTTTGTGCATGCATATTCTGAGAAATCTGAATTTAATGATGTCTTTGAATTTAATAATATATTCAAGATATATGTAGGCCTTGAACCTTTTGGACTTTAGAAGTCGGTATTTGGTTACTAGTTTTGGAGGTCATTGCAGTCTGTCTGTCTGAAAGCATGCCTACACAGATGACCAGCTGCAGTTGGCAGATCTTCACCAAGACCATTCATTTTTCCAGGATGGTTCCTTGCTGGCATAAGATAGCTATGTATTCCTTTGGCTCCAAATACTGGTGGAAGCAAATCTGAAAACAAAGTAGCAGAACTACTTCTGTTTGCAGATGGCTAATTGTTGGCTGTAAGTGGTAGCATAGCATGGGGAGAACAACAGAGTGGTAGGTGTTGGCTGCATAAAAGAAGACAAAGACAATATAAACAGAGAAAGAGAAGAAAGTAGAACCAAGAAAAGAAGGACAATCAAGGACTGAGAGGAAGGGATTTATGCAAGAGCAGGAAAAGGAGTATGCCAGCTGACAGTTTGGAAGTGCAAGTAGAAATTTGTGAGGGGGAAGAAAATGAATGAACATCACACCCTCTTCTTGTCCTTGTTTCCTGGGCATTCCTTTCCTATTTGCTTCCTTTCATAAAATATATTTCATTTAGAACTGATACCCGTGATTACTACCCCGATTTCTCTCAGGGAGATTTTGTAGCATTTCACTTAAATAATGAATCGCAGTCACCTTAATGCTTAATATAGTGAGCACTGAACAAACACTACAAATGCTGTACACTAAGAAACACTAAGAAAGAGAGAATGATGCGGACTTGTTTTTAATTCCCAAGTATTTCCATTTGTGATCTAGGGAAATTTTGGCAGTGTTGAGATGTGCCGGTATGACCCACTGCAGGATAATACCGGAGAGGTGGTGGCTGTGAAAAAGCTGCAACATAGCACAGAAGAGCACCTGAGGGACTTTGAAAGAGAAATTGAAATACTTAAATCTCTGCAGCATGATAACATCGTTAAATACAAAGGAGTATGCTACAGTGCAGGTATGTGCTATATTGAGTACACCTTCAAGTGTACAGTTAAGTATGCCTACCGAGAAATTCAGAGAGGTGTTTATGACAGTCACTGACTTGTCCTAGCTTTACCAGGACTTACAGAGTACAAAACAAACTAAATAGTGTCTGTTGTGTATCTCAGTAAAAGGTGGACATTTTATTCAATCAGCTCATTGCATAACTTCATTTATTCAGAGTACTGTTTTGACTATTTACATAGCTTTATGTAAAAGCATAAAGGACTTCCTAGAAAAGAATATAGAGTTTAAGGGGGAAAAATGCACCATGTAACTGTTCTTGTTTTTTTCACTCAGTGTAATATTTCAGAGTGGGTATTACCAAGTTCTAGTACAACCTGTACAGTGAAAGAGTGTACAAGAAAAAGTTTCAGAAACAGATCTGTTTGAGTGAATTGGTGATGCCAATGAATGAAAGTGTCGGTTCTGCCCAGGATCTTACTGTAAAAAGAAAAATCTTGAGTTCAAAATCAGGCTAAGTTTTTAAACTTTTACTTTGCTTTCATAATAGTAGATAAAGTATTGATGAGATGATCTTGATTAGTGATATACTAGTATATCAAGCATATCCACATTGTTGTTAAGTTTAAATCAGTGGCATTTCCTGAGCAAATGCGTTTAAGTGATAATGAAAAATTGCATAGTGATGTACAAATCAGAATTTAATTTTTCAGTATTAAGACTATTTTCTGTTACTCCTATTGGTGTTCTAAAATAATTATGTTTTAAAACTTGCCATTGGAAAATTACAGAAAAATTAAGTGCATTTTTTATTGTTGTTGTAAAAGGTCGTAGGAATCTAAGATTAATTATGGAATATTTACCATATGGAAGTTTACGAGATTATCTTCAGAAACACAAGGAGAGGCTGGACCACAAGAAGCTTTTGCTGTATGCGTCTCAGATATGCAAGGTAGGAAATTTCAAATTATTATTTATGGTTTTCAACAGAGTTTTGTCTTTTTGGTCTCATCCCATTTGTCTCAAAATAACTATAATTGGTTGTTTTGGTGTATCTTCTACAATACTGTTGGGCTGCTAGCACCACATGACCCCAAAAAAAGTAGCAGTATATATTCACGTAGTCAAGAGCTGGAAAAACTTCTGAGTATCTTAGTACAGGATGCTGAGACTGACCTATCTGCTGACTGAGGCATTATATACTCCATTTATTTTTCTGTATTTTCTAGCTTACTAAGGTTGTATTTCAATCAGAATAATTAAAACCTCTCTTTGCCCTAATGAGACCTGAAATAAGATTTAGTAGGCATTAATATACTGACTCAGGCAATCTGTTTGGGACATACTATAATTGATTTTTCAGAACTTTGACATTCAACTGTAAAACCACTGTAACAACAAAAAATTACTTTTAGCTCTGAATAATATTAGACAAAGAGCAAAGATACATGGTTTCTGTATGAAGAACTAGAGGCCAGAAAAATACCCAAAGCTGTAATAAATTATTTGGTACTGAACATAATTCAGAAAAATTCTGCAAAGGGGGGCAAACATCTGATCTTTATTGTGATATCTCATTTCCTTAGAAAGAGGGCTTATGCATACCCTAGTTTTATTCTGTAATTATGCTTTAGATACAAGAAACTGTAGACACTTCAGATTTCATTGAATATTCAGTAGTTTTGGGGGGGAAAAAAAGGGGGTGAGGGAGACAGAGACAAAAATAAAAAAATATAACCACACCCCATAAAGGCATGTACCAGAATTATTTTTAAATTCCTTTTTTCCAATACCCACATCAAAGACATGCTTACATAACATTAGTAAGTGTTCTTTAGGGTCTGTAGCCCACAGATGTCTGGTAATAGTACCCTACCACACTTAGAGCAGGAGACTTTCCTTCTGCAATATCCACAGAAAAGGCCTTACAAAAATCAGGAGAGAGTCTCTGCCGGAGCCGAGATCTTCTGTAGACATTCAAACTTTCACATGGTGAAAAGAGCTTGCTACTTCCCTGCTTGAAACTGGCCTAACTCATGAACTCTTCAGCTGCCGGACCTAGTGCATGTACAGAGGGTTGCATGCAATTTAACAGCTTTTCTCACCTATTCACATGCTTCACTGAAGCACAGTGATGTGGGTAGTCTCCATCAAAAGCTCCTTGATGGGCAATCCGTGTGGAATGAGGTGAGAAAACAGAAAATGCTAGCAAGTCTGTGGCAAGTGTCACAGAAAGAAGGATTGAACGTGTGACCACCTACTCAGAGGGTTGAAGAGCCCTCTGATCTGTGTGTCCAAAACAAGAAGTCATTCTGCAGTAACAGGCCTAAGAAATTCTCTTAGAATTATTTCTGCAACAAAATAACTGTTAAGCTGGTAAATTACTGAAAACAATCTTTGTTCAAGCAGAACTGGAAGAGCCTTAATACTCAGCACTAACTCCAAGGATTGTGACTGCATCTTTCATAGTATAATGATGCAACAGGGACCTGCAGGTGCCTGCCATGTGTACTCTCATAAGAAGCTGTGGAGCATATGTAAGTCTTCAGGCCTTTATTCAAAGCCTGGAGGAACAATAGTGGCAACATAAGTCAGGACCCTTGTCTCTGAGACAGAGGTATCTGATGGGAAGACTGGAAGGTGGATTTTGGCCTTTGCAGGCTGTGCAAGTATGGCAGGAATCTTTGGGAAAGGAATTGTATTCAGAAAGTACAAAGGAAAGGGGTCTTGATGTGTGTGTACGTATACATATATAAAAGAATCTTCAAAATATTACAGATCTTCAGGATGGTGAGAAATCAAAATAGCAGATGAAATGACTGCTTCCTAAGTACCAAGCACCAGCTGAGACAAAGGGAGCTAAAATATGCCTCCTGCCTCATACTTAAGTGGAAAAAACATCCTGCTTTCATGTGACAAACCATGGGTACAAACAAATGTGGGAAATCCGCATAGAACTTGCTCTTAAAGAAATACGTTTTCACTTCTAGGGGAAGCAAAGTCTAAGAGTTACAGTGAACATGCCTTGCTTTGCACTGTATGACCTGCAAAGTAGAGGTTATATCGATTGCTTTAAGATTTCACTCTAATCTGCAGCATTCTGTTACTCCAAAGCAGCTTAATTATAAACATAGTAAGTACCTGACACTGTGAAAATGGAATCTGAATGCTTTTTCTTCTATTTTTAACTCTTTAGCTGCTTTTCCTTCTCTTACAATGTTTGCTCTTTCAGCATCTTACATCTCTTCTTTCTGCTGTGCATTTCTTCACTGTAATTCTTGGGCTTTTTTAGTCAAAAACCTTTCTCCCTTTGCCTTGCTGCTCTCCTCTCAAGTGTATTAGAGAAATGAAGGCATGCCCATACCTGACGGTTGAGATGGATGTGTTTGGCTACTTGCTGTGTTTTGGTTCCTTGCTACAATACTGGGAAAGGATTTTCCCATCTCTTAATGCTTAAAATGCTTCAGGTGTCTTTGCTGAAGAGCACAACTTTAAAGATAGAAACATTTGAAAAAACATAATTAAACTCCATTGTTAGACTAGTGCCACAGGATTATGATTTCCACTTAGAATTTGCATGACTTCAATTAAGCATCTGTATTAGATTAGGTGTTTTCCAGGCTAACAGATAAGTTACTATCATCAAACTTCAGGGCTGTTTTCTGCATAGTACATACTAATAAGAAAAAGCTGTAGCATTTGCATGGACTAGTTGTACCAGGAACACGAGAGTCTCATTTTGAAGAAGCTAGGTTTGGTATTTTTCCAGATGGTAGTAAGTAAGTGGGCAGTGAAGAATGGGACATTTTTGAACGGTTTTGTTCTTGGGATGGGCTGTGAGAGAACAGTAATGCCACCCAGCGGTGCTGAGGGGTTATGGAGTCTGACAGGAGGGTTACACTTCAGAGCCAAACTCTTTCTGAGGTTCCTCACATTAAAAAAAAAAAAAGAGAGAGAGAGAAATAAACCTTTTGGCATTAATAGTATAACGCCGATGTTCAAAACTTTTGAGCCCACCAACGTTATAAGTGTAATTTATTACTTTTCAGTTGTGTTGAAGGAGTGATATGGTTTCTTAAGAAACTCTGAAACTGACAGCTTGCTTTGTGATTCCTTTCACATAGGAGCTGGGTATCTTGGGTCGTTGTGCGGCATCAATTTCTGCCCATCATTTATTGCTGTCTAAGCAAGACCTTCTTGTTTTAGTAATGCCACACTGGCTCCTTCCATATTTTGTTGTTAGTGAAAATAATTAGGTGCATTGGTAAGAAGGGATCATCAGCAACAAAAACCAACATGGCTTTGGAGCAGTGTTTTATTACAGCAATTCATGGAAATATAACAATAAGCAGAACTGTGTTGGCGGATAATGATCCATGCAAAAGAGAAACAAGACACATGGGTGGGAATACAGTGAGAGAATTGTTGTCAAATTCAAGAAATCATAACGTTTCATGGAAGCAATCAGGAAAGTAGATGTACAAAGTGAAAAAAAAGAGTAAATGAAATGGGTAGGTAGGACAGTCTTCTCATGTGCTCTGGATTGTGTAGCTTAGCCCAAGTTTTGTTTTCCTTCTGTATATCACCAGAAAACTGCATTTGGCTACAGAAAGGAGCTGTAACAGCTATCCACCTACAATAAAAAATACTTGGTGGTCAGTCTACGTCCCTCCAGTTAAGGGAGTCCCTGAGCTTGGAAAAAGTAACTCCTCAGGGAAGACAAATGTTCAAGCACACATACTTTAATAATGATTAGGTTTTGGTTTTAACTTTGAGGTTAATTTATTCTCTTAGGGAAAGTGCAGCTACGTAATGGTTAAAAGTAACTCTTTTTCTCTTATGTTTGTGACCTCTACGCGTAGGGCATGGAGTATCTGGGTACGAAAAGATACGTTCACCGGGATTTAGCAACAAGAAATATCTTGGTGGAGAATGAGAACAGAGTTAAAATTGGAGATTTTGGATTGACAAAAGTCTTGCCACAAGACAAAGAATACTACAAAGTGAAAGAACCTGGTGAAAGTCCTATATTTTGGTAAGTCTTCTTTTGGTATGTGACATTATGGCGTTTTCAGTTTTTGCCATTTCAGCCAATTGTTTTCCATATTATGGAATTTTTAAGTGCAAACTCCGCATCAGTTTCCCAGCATTGTGAAAGTCACGTGCATGATGTTTGACTTCATAGAACAACATCTGGGAATTTTCAACATATTTGAAAAAAAAAAAAACAAAACAAAAACCATCCCAAACAAACTCCTAAAAAATACCAACATATTTAAAAGAAATAGTATCCAATGGGAAAGACATAAGGGAGATCTGAAAGGGTCTATTCCCCTGGCTGCTTTCAAATGTTTGGACCTTTCAGTTCCCTAAACACTGGTCATTCGTGTCTTCTAACTGAGACCTGTCAGATAAACTGTCTGGTGACCAAGTGGGGTTAAGTCCCCAGTTGTAATTAACAAGAATAAAGTGCTGAGATTTAGTATTCAGGTGGATGTCTGTATTTTGCAACTGAGCTTCCAGAGAAGGTCTAAGTTACCCCAAATTACAGCAATGCTCCAACAAACTGCACTTGGCTTGAACAGGAAAAGAACACTTAGTGTAGCCTGTGGGAGACTGAATGATTATGAAATACAAGTTCTGACTGTATTCAGAATGCCAGAAATATGTTTAATCTCTGTTCTATGAAGACATAGAAATACCTTAGAAAATACACTGGCAGATAGCTGGCAGAAAATACACTGGCAGATAAAAACCATTTTATGTCTTGATAACAAAAAAAATGCCATTCTGTAAATGTGTTTTTAGTCTATATTTTATTTCTGCCTTAGGCACTGTTTATCTGAAGGATAAATGATACAAAATGGCATCTTAGTAGTTATTAGAGATGTACAGTGTAATTCCAAAATTACCTGGGACACAGTTCAAGGCTCACTAAAAGTGTTAAAAGGCTATAATTGTCTTTCTTTCCAGTTCTTATCACATCAAAATCTTGGTTACTTGTACTACAGATAAGAAAAATATTTACAACTTTGTTGGAAAAAATGTCAAACTTGGTTATAGTTATCACTAACTGTGTTTAAGGTGGATTTGGTCTTCAATACCAATTAACTATTATTAAAGGAATAGTTACTATATGAAGGTACTGGAAGGAAATGAGAACGTGCTAATATCTATGCATAAATAACATTTATTCATGAAAAAAAGTCAGTCTTGTTAAAACAAATGTTTTCAAAACCAAGAAATTTACAGAGGAATTTTCCTTTTACCATATGTTGCAGGTATGCTCCAGAATCTCTGACAGAAAGCAAATTTTCTGTGGCCTCAGATGTGTGGAGTTTTGGTGTCGTCTTGTATGAACTCTTCACCTATATTGACAAAAGCAAAAGCCCACCAGCTGTAAGTATATAGTAATAGTTCTCAGAGATTTTTCTTCATTTATTTAAGTTTTCTAGAATATATGGATTGTTCCTATACCTAAATAGGTTAATATTTACTCATCCTTTCCTGGAGATATTTTAGTGGTTTTGAGGCATCCAATGAGAAGCAATAACGTGCTGAAAGATGTTAGTATCAAGCCATAAGTAGGAAAGGAGATCTGAAAATTTCTTGACAGTCTGCAGATCTTATCCATCCTGGAACTTCTAACTCTTTGATAAAGATTTTAAATCTCTTATTATAGATTGTTCTTTCCCATCCTTCATGGAGGGTCATCCCAGATGCAATCATTTCATTGAAAGATGACATGTATTTTTAACACTATTCCAAATTCAAGGCTGAACTAAACAAATCCATATACATTAAATTAATTTAAATAAGATAACTTAAAGGTATCTTGTTATGTTACCAGAACCCAAATTAGTAAGTGAGTGAAGTTCATGAAGGAAAGGGAGTGGCTTTTTGCAGAGTGTTGACAGGCATTTTAAAGACAAACTTGCAGTGAGTGGAGAAAAATACTACTAACAGTTCTCCAGCTGGAAATAAGATTCATGACCTAACATACACCTTCTGCAGGCATAACAAAGGAGAGTGGAGCCTTTTATGTTTACTGAAGCTGACCTCACCCTTGGCCAGAATCTGGCAAAAGTGGTTTTGAGAGCCGAATAGTGATGATAGGCACTGACATTGGCTATCTCTGCATTGGCTCAGTGGACTTCTTAGTAATTTGATGCAATGAGCTGTCAAAGGTATCACGGAAGAGCTCTCAAAACAGGGGCAGCTCTTCCAACATAATAACATAAACGTTGCAGACACCGAGAGTTCTTCTTCAGAAGGATTATGAAAGGAAAAGTGGTAGAGTAAGTTATGGGTTCAGGTGGACTATGCTTGGAATGAATCATTTCTACATGTGCATTCACCACTTCACCAGGTTGGTTATTGTCGTGAGGTCTTGGTCCGAGGGGAAAAGAAGGACACACAAGACAC